ACTTTAAAGGTGATTTTCTCAGTATTTTGATTTTTTTGCACCCTCAGATTCCAGATATTCAAATAGTTGAATATCTGGCCAAATATTGCCCTATCCTAACAAACCATACATCAGTGGAAAGCTTATTTATTCAGCTTGATATGATGTATAAATCTCAATTTCAAAAAATTGACCCTTATGACTGGTTTTGTGCTCCAGGGTAACATATTTGATTTTATTTCAGTTAACATTAATTTTATTTTATTTCAAGTAACAAATATATATATTTTTTAATGTTTTTATTTTCTCATATAAGAAGTTTTTATCATAACCCTGATGACAATACAGATGCTGCTAGAAGATGTTTTAATTTGTCAAACGAAGGACCATAAAGAAAACTAAACTCTCCTTTTCAATTTAAAATAATTAGTTATCTTACTGGGAAACGGCGTTTGGCCCTAAAGGCCGCCACTCTCTTCAGTTCGTCCTCTGTGACGTTTGAAGGAAGGACCAGCAGAGCGGGATACGTCTCGCACACCCCGTAACTGCTGTTGACTTTACTGATGATCCAGCTCTCGTTTGGAAGACCCTGTTACCATCCACAACATCGACACATGTACATCAGAACATAATACCAAAATAATGACCTGTATTAACACATACTTTGCATAAGGTGAGTGGTGATGATAGTTCTTACCTGCCTCTTATACTCAGCGACTGGGTCGTAGATCTTCCAGCCATCTTCTGGAAATGACTCTCGGTACTTAAAGGCAAAGAGAGGCTGAAGGAAATGAGAGGGAACGTGTATCATTAAGCACACTGAAACACCTTCAGCTACTGTACACATATGTGGGTGTTTTCAAAAAGTCGTACCAGGTTGTGGAAGAGAGGGAATGCGTACTTTGACAGTATTTCAAACACCTCCAAATTGCTCTGTCCCTCCTTCCTGTACGCAAACCGGGGGTTTCTCAAGTCCTGTGGTAAAAAACAAGAATTAATATTTGAAAGTATGTGAAGTGAAGATAGGCAAAGGAAGAGGCAATGGAGAGTGGAATAAGACTGATGTGTCCTTTGCCTTGCAAACGATCTCAAGCCCTTGAGTGTTCTCTCCATGACTCTGAACGGCGATAGACTCCAGTCTGCTAATGGCTCCAAGATTCACATCCAGCACAAACGCAGGATCCTTTCCCAAACACAGAAGAAACGTTATCAACCAACCAAAACATCTGTGCTTGCTGAGATCCGAGAAAACACTTTTTTAATTAATCTACTGAGCCAGCACCTCATATTGTATTTTATACTGTGTCCTGATTTGCATACTTTTAGTGCATAGTAGAATTATGTACTTTGCAGGCCATAGGAAAGTCTAAACTTTTGAGTATGTCGAAAGAGCGTATGCCAGTATTAGGGCAAAAGCTAAACTTACTTTGGTTTTTAAGGTTGTGACACACCAAACCAACTTCAAAAAACTAGTGAAAATGAAAGCTGCTCCGCGTCACCTGGGTCTGAGCTGGAAAGTTGCGCTTGAACCTGCACATATGTTCTGCCTCTGCCCAAGGGAAAATAACTCTCCATACCAACAGGTGGCAGTAGTCTGTATGCATCATTCAAACAAGAAAACTGGAACGTGTGCTGCATCCCAATGTGCCTACTTATACTATGCCCTTAAAGTATGTACTCTTTTGGTGAAGAAAAAGTACACACTTTTGAGTGTGTAGTAGAAGAGTAGGCAAGTTTTGGGACATACGATCACGTTACACAATTGCGTCTTTAAAGAACCGCTCTGTCGCACCCTGTCACTGTAAACTGGCCTGTCAAACATCTTGTCACAGTAAACATCCTCCACATTTCATTTCATTTTAACTTCCTACCGTACTGGAGAGAAAAGTAGTAGCTCGTTGATCTGCCAGTCGCGGGCCTTTCATGCGGAGAACTCTGCTCATATTTTCTGCATAATGATGCATTTAAAAGTTAACGACCAAATGAATGTTTATAAAAGTTCACATTGCTATTGCAGATGAAATATAACACCAATAACAATAAATAAATATTTTTACCAGGTTAAATGTTGATTATTAGTAACTCAAACCGCGCGCATCCGCCACGTTTAACGCGTTTTATTCGTGTTTGTAAATCTGGACCGAATCCTTCGACAAAGTGCAATGGATTGTGGGCAATTTTAGCCATTAGAGTGTGCACGGATCCACACTTCAAAAATCGACCTGAAATAGTAGACCATCCGGGGACATTTGGCATACTCTTTTGACATACTATGCTTTGGGACGCAGTTATTCTAATCTCACATACTACTTAGGATGGAAAGTATGAACATTGGGACGCAGGGTAAGACTGTGGATACATAAACTGTAAACAAAGCAGCGCTTGCTTAACATTTTGAATATGAATCATGTTGATCAGTTGGTCTTTATTCGTTCCAGACAGTCAAGTCGTTATGAAAAGTCAAGTTATTGAAATGGTCAGGTAAGATGAAGATGTAAAATTAGAACATTCTTCTGTGTGTGCCCTCTGGAGTTTGTCGTTTTGCTTGCTTTCACCACTTTCGCTTTCAACATCTGTATTTTTTACTATAAACTACATTGCCTATTTTTCAAACAGAACTCTGATGTGAAGTGACACCACAGTCGGCTTTCAATGTCAGTTTGGTGTGTCACTGCATTCAGATGCCATAGAAAGTGATTACCCGCACCAGGCTTTTAAAGAAGAGCTTGTAGTCAGTGATGGTTAGAGTTCCCCTCACGACCCCAGAGAACGGACAGATATACATGACGTCCTTGACTGTAAAAAAAAAAACACCACAGCATACAAAGTTTATCTACCACTGACATGGACAACGTGTGGAAGACCTGAAACTATACTGTCTAAAAAGGCGTTGTTCACTGACCCTGTGACCCATATATTAACTTTTCTTTTTATGGTTGGTTTGCTATGCTTCATGATGGTTCTATACTAACACATCACGTAAAAAGATGCTCAATTATGAAAGCACAAGTGTTAAGTTCCTTACCAATAGCTTTGATGGTTTCTCCAGGAACGCGTGGGGCCTCTTCCATCTGAGCCTGCTTATTTCCTTCTCTGAGTGCCTGTCACACAAAACATTTTAATATGATACACATTTTCTGATTAAGGAAAAGATATTCTGGATAAGCGTTTACATGTTCCTATTGGAATATCCCAGTCTCATCATAATTTAGACATATATTCTGAATAAGGCATTTAAATTATACAAAATTCTGATTAATACAGACATATGCCAACTGTCTTAATATGATTTATAGAATACAGAATGTTGGCATTATATGTTTTTTACAATTAGGTTAATGTACTGTATTTTACATGACACTTACATAATCAGAATTTGACCACAATTTGATGCCTGCCCAAAAACTTGTGTAACATGTTGCCAGGGCATTGCTATGCAGTTGCTAGGATGTTGTAGCTGTTAGTTAGATAACTTATTAGTCATGTCATAAGAGAAAACCCAGAGCCCAATGTCTCTATGATATTCTGGTCCCTCAATATAGGACAAATTCTTACATTTTTTTTATTTTTATTACTACTATGTACACTATGAATAGTGATGCTTACCTTCATAAGTGCCATTTATTAGTAAACTATTGGGAAATAAAACTCTAATAAAACAGACATCCAAAAAAAATATAAAAATCAAACAAATACTGATTTATACAAATACAACTCAGTGTCAGAAAGATATAGAAAAGCTCTGCATGTGGTTTCCTTTGCTTCCACTCCCAGATTTTAAGTTTTCTCTCCGCTTAAAGCAAACAGTCCGTCCAATGCTTGAGGTTGTAAACTAAACACGAAAGGCAAGGCTGTGATTTAGAACACTGAAGAAAATCTGACATTATAAGCAAACTGCTGATGACGCAATTTCAGCAAGAGCAAAATATTTGAGATTCATATTTTTAGATGCTTTCATTAACTTTGACAGAAGGGAATATGCACGTCTTCACATTGCTAGAATAAACTCTGAACACCTCTGCAACCACACAGCAAACCATCTACACCACTCCAGCATCTCGATGATAAATTTAGCACCAGTAACTAGCAAAAATCGTATCTATATGCAGTATGAAAGCATTATGATTACTCTTTTCAGATCCAATGAATCACTAGTCAATGGCCCTAAAAGTTAATTTTCTGTGAGCACATTGTTGACAGTGAGCAGTAGGGAGCTCAGCGGGATGAGATGGGGCTCATGGGTCTGCTCCACCCACAGTGACACAACTGTTTGGCAGCTTCATGGACTCAGAGAATTCAGTCATTCTATTACAGTCCAGCTGCAGGACAATGACGACACTGTGGAGTTCAACAGGCTTGACCTTCACAAAGACAAAAGATCTATGGAGATCTGCTCAGCATTATGCTAATAATGCCCTGAAAAGATGGCACGGGGTGGTGATATTTCATAATGGCATGTGAGTCAAAACATCTGTATTTTCCACTCACACATTCAGTGATCTATATCAATAGTGTAAAATACAGTAAGGCATACTGGAGATTCAAATACAAATCATGCTCTTTCGACAGCATCTGTTAGTGCATTTACATGGACATGCTGGTAATTATCAAAAACAATTCATTATAATGTCCAGACAATACAATCCACATTTAGACATTTTTTCAAATGTTTTTGATACAAAACAGACAGACAAACAGTTGTTTTGATAGGTAGGTAGGTAGGTATGTAGGTAGATGATAGATAGATAGATTTAAGTCTACACTGCAAAAAAATTATTGTGATTTTAACGGTAAAAGACTGTAAAAATGCTACAGTAAAAACCTGTTAACAGTAAGTTTCCATACTATATTCGGTGAATAAATGTAATTACATTTAATGTGATTTTACAGTAAAATACTGTTAAAAATACAGTTTTTGGAAGTGAAAAAGAAAAAGTCATTGTATAATTTATGGTGAAAACCAGAATTCCCTGCATGACACTTCATATTTGAAGTTTTTCTTATCAGTTGTGTACATTAGGGTTTAATCTTACATCTAATGTTGTTAAATTAATGTTTATTGCATTATTTCAGTATCATGTGTGTCACCATGATGGGGTTTAGTGTTTTTTTGATACAAAACAGACAGACAAACAGTTGTTTTGATAGGTAGGTAGGTAGGTATGTAGGTAGATGATAGATAGATAGATTTAAGTCTACACTGTAAAAAATTATTGTGATTTTAACGGTAAAAGACTGTAAAAATGCTACAGTAAAAACCTGTTAACAGTAAGTTTCCATACTATATTCGGTGAATAAATGTAATTACATTTAATGTGATTTTACAGTAAAATACTGTTAAAAATACAGTTTTTGGAAGTGAAAAAGAAAAAGTCATTGTATAATTTATGGTGAAAACCAGAATTCCCTGCATGACACTTCATATTTGAAGTTTTTCTTATCAGTTGTGTACATTAGGGTTTAATCTTACATCTAATGTTGTTAAATTAATGTTTATTGCATTATTTCAGTATCATGTGTGTCACCATGATGGGGTTTAGTGTTTGTGTGAATGACACTGTGCACTTTCTATATATAAGTATTGCCCTCCTCAGCTCGTAGAAAAGCTGTTTGTGATGAGTTTAGGTTCAACGTGTGACTTTCTCATCACCACCAGTTTTTGGTAGTTATCAGTGCATTACAATGGTTCAAAACAGATATTAGTACTTCAATATGTTGGTTTATTAACATTACATCAGTTAATGTAATGTCACGTCACTTTAATGAAATACGGTATTTTATTGTGAATTTAAGTTAAGTCTGTAAAACCTAAAATGTTGCTACCATATTTTTTACGGTGAAGTTCTGGCAACCACAGCTGCCGGTATTTTACCGTAAATGTCACAGATATTTTTTTACAGTGTAAGACAGACAGACAGATAGATACTTCAGTAAGTTAATAATCATGTCAAATAGTTAACAGAGTCTCTTACACACACACACACACACACACTTGCCGAAGAGGAGGCAGTCTGCTGAGGGTCACTGTCCAAGAGAAATTCTTTAACCTCCACATCACAGTCCTGCACCAAAGAAACACCACAACACCACAGAAAAACAAAGAGTGATGAGGAAAGAGAAAGAAGAAAGAGCAGAAACATTACAGTGCATGTGATCACACCAGAAAGTTTGTGGAAGTGCAGTCGTTTCAAGAAAATTCCATGCAGGTGTAATGAGGTAAAAAGGGGTCATATACATTTGAGCACTTTCCCTACTTTCCCAGATCTTAGATGTTAGTCAAGGTTTCTGCATCAACAACTCTGAACAGAACACTCTGATAGTGACTGTTTTTGAGGAAATCAACATATGATTGTCTTAGTTGACTGCATATTATCCCTGTAAAAACTGACAAATAAAATATATTCTAAAAAATAAATAAATAAAGTTGCAGTTGATCTCAACTTATAAGGGACCAATGTTTAAAGTACCTTTACTTTTTTTCTATCAGTCTCTTCTGGCCAAAATACGATTGTATAATCCATAATAACACTACTTCCAGTGAAAAAGTCCCCTGATGTCCTCACACATCAAAATCCACCAACATAGAACTGTTTAGAACTGTTTTCACTTGTAAATTGAGCTTTGTTCTGTGCGTATTTCTTTCCTGATTCAGATGAGATGTCTTTTTTTACTGGAGAAAGCATATATTATGAATAGACTACTTATATTTTAGCCGGAAGCAAAGGTTTAAAGTTAAAAATGACTTAATGATGGATTTGTTTCCTACAAACACACAGCTTTTCGCGTCACAAGATGTTAATTGATGGACTGGAGTAGAATGGAGTACTTGTGGATTATTGTGATGCTTTTATCTGTTTGGACGTTCATTCTGACGGCACCCATTCACTGCAGAGGATCCACGGGTGAGCAAAGGATGTAATAAAAATTTTGGAAATTTCTCCAAATCTGTTCTGATGAGGAAACAAACTCATCTACATCTTGGATGGCCTGAGCATGAGTAGATTTTAAGCAAATGTTAATTTTTCAGTGAGCTATTCCTTTAACACCACACCAAAAGAAAAGATTATCAACAATTACCAGTCAACTGTTTTCAGTCTGTTCCTCACAAAAAGCTATCATATGACTGCAGATGCCCTTATTGCACGAGTTATCTGGACTATTTTTATGATGCTTTTATAATCCTAGGATATGGCCAGGAAAAATTTACCTTTTAAGTTCCACCAAAAGGGTTTTGTGACAAAATGACTAAATATTAAGATAAGTTTCTTTTTCCATGTGAACTATGTATCTGTGAAGACTTGAATCTAGCATCTAGTTCGGATACACTTTGGTTTCATGACAAAAACAGCAGTTGTCTGTGCTGCCTCTTGCATAAGAGTATATAAACTAAAAGCACTGGGTGGAGATCTCTGGCAATGCATAGAGAAAAACAAGAGCCTGTTTTGAGTTAGTGAGCATTTACCCATTGTGTTATATTGTTTGCTTCAGTACACAGTCTTCTACCGCTACAAATTACCAAACTGTGATGAAATATAAGCAAAAACATGAATAAATCAGGTTGGATAAGTGTCATGAATATCCACATAACAACTGAAAGCAGACATACTTTTTGTAAAGCTAATGCAATCCAAACCATATGAGATCTGTGTTGTGCATCAATAGAAAAAGTGTTTTAAGTATATTTTAAGTATACACATACCAGTACGTATTTACACTCATACCTTGTACTCTCTGGAAATCATTTCTGAGCTGATGGGTCCAGAGATCTGACTTGACATTGTGGCTGCAATCAGTTGTTTACACCACTCAACATGATCCCCTGTGGGACTATAATTTGAAAGTGTTAGTGAGTATACAGTGCCGTGAAAAGGTTTTTGCCCCCTTCCTGTTTTGTTTATTTTTTGCATATTTTTCACACGTAAAAGATTCAGATAATCAAACCAATTTTAATATCACGCAAAGATAATGCAAGTAAATACAAAATGCAGTTTTTAAATGATCATTTCATTTATTAAGGGAAAAAAGCTGTCCAAACCTACCTGGCCCTACGTGAAAAATTAATTGCCCCTCCTCTTAAATCATGAAAGAACTGATTAACCACATAATTTTAGAAAGCTGAGTTAAATTTCACTAGCCACACCCAGGCCTGATTACTGCCAGACCTGTTGAATCAAGAAATCACTTAAATAGAACCTGTCTGACAAAGTGAAGCATGCTTAAAGAGCAACACATCATGCCACGATCTAAAGAAATTCAAGAACAGATGAGAATCAAAACAGTTGACATGTATCAGTCTGGAGAGGATTATAAAGCCATTTCTAAGGCTTTGGGACTCAGGGAGGGGGCAAAAACTTTTTCACACCACTGTATGTCTGACAGTAAAATACTTAAAATACAGCTGGCTCTTATTCATCCCAATAGTACCAGTACATCAACGGCATTCATCAGAACTATGCTGTCAGACACTCATGTACATCTGTAGTTTAGATGGACTATATATTTATACTTACTTTATAAAACATATTGAGCACTGGCTTAGTTATTGTTGCCTGTTTCCATAATTGAATAATAAAAAATGTAAAAAGATAATCGTGACTTTTTATCTCACAATTCCAACTTTTTTTTCTCAGAATTACGAGATAAAAATTGTGAGTTACAAAGTCAGAACTGCAGGATATAAACTGACAATTCTGAATTTTTCCTCGCCGTTGTGAGTTTATATCTTGCAATTCTGACTTCTTTTTCTCAGAACTGAGATAGCCTATAAACTCACAATTTTGACTTTTTTTTTTCTTCTCGTGATTGCATTTATATTTTGAAATTCTGCCTTTTTTCCCCCACAATTCTGACGTTTTACAAGGGTAAATACTAGTGTTGTAGCACTCGAGACGCGGTCTTAAGACCATTTTTTTTGAAGGTCTTGTCTCAGTCTCGACCTCATTTGTACTCGGTCTCGTCTTGGTGTCAGACTAAAAGGACTCGGATTTTATTTCAAGATCATTCATAAGACTGCAATTGCGGGGATATTACTAAATTGCCAGTGCATTGTCTGATTTATTTGTTAACATCACTAATGTGATGGTGTATAATGTACTGCTTCAAATGCAAACTTATTTTTTTTAAATTAGATTTCATATGATACTGCTGTGCCGGTCAGAAATGTATTGGGGAATTATGTCAAAATTAATACAAATGCCCCAAAAATTCAAGGTATGATTGCAAAAAAAATTATTATAATTTTTTTGGCCATTTCTGCAAGGAAAGTAGTTCCAAACAAATCTATAGCAGAGCTGTTGTGTGTTTCATTACTAAATAAATCAGCTGCTTTGAACGAATCGTTTGAATAAAATATTCCGTGACTCACTCAAGTGATCTGCCACCTACTAGTTTTAGTCTTATTTTTCCATCATATTTCTATATTCAAAATTGTATTTCAAAAACATTGATCATAACAATATGTCTGCAGTTGTAATTGTACAAATTCAAATGCAGCTTCTGTGCTGCCTCTGCAGTGCATAGATGAATTGTACAATTACTGTTGTTAGTGATTTCATTTGATTGCTAACAGCTCTATATTGTTTTTGTTTATTTCTTTCTTAAAGGGGTCATATGATGCTTTTTTAAAGATCATTATTTTGTCCGGCATCTATGGCTATTTTCATGGCGAGAACCTGTTAATCCATACACAAGTCTTGTCTTTACACACACGTCCGGGGGACAATTTAGAATGTTCAGTTAACCTAACCAGCACGTCTTTGGGCTGTGGGAGGAAAACAGCTCTATATAGTGTTTTATTATTCTAATTGTATTTATTGATTAAATATGAGATCTTTCTCAGGCATTAAATGTGGATCTGTCATGTGAATTTGAGAAGTGCTGGTTTGGTCTTAACGCACTCTGGTCTTGAGTCTCAGTTTAGGTGGTCTTGTCTACTAGTTGTACACACAACTTCAGTGGCACATAAAAACATAAGCAAAATTAATAACGTCAGAAAGCAGAGGAAAAACTTGATGAGGAGCTAAATAGAGCCATAAATTGATAATATTTTTTGATAACCTAATTTAAATACTCGTATATCATGTTGCAGTATCAATCCATCCATAATCATTTGCAACAATTGATATTTATTTATAAGCAGGCTATAATAAAGATCAACTTTGATGTTGACTTGAGAAAATACAGAAGTACTTCAAGTTTCAGCTCTACCTTAATAAGAATGAACTTATATTAGTTTACTATTTATTTATGTCTATTTATCTTATGTTTATGTGTGTAGATATACAGTGGGTACCGAAAGTATTCAGACCCCCTTAAATTTTT